ATTCTGTTAACATCAATTACCACCACTGGTCCGGTTGAGTTAGCTTTTAAAAAGAATTAAGGAAAAAAAAAAAAACAAAACCACAACATGTACTGAATTGCACCTTTTCATTTTAACAACGAAAAAAATAAACTGCTGGACGCTTCTAAGAAACTTTCCAGGAAACCAAGTTTGGCTTTGACACTAGGAAAGTTGTATTTCAATTGAAAGTAAAACTAATAATGTGTTCTCTGCACTCTCATCCATTAGAACTCACAGCTCATCAATCCAATGGAAAAGCCTACTTACGGTCATTACACTGGCTCCCAGAATATGAAGTCATGGAGCAATCACAGGTGAAGCCTTCCCATTGCTGATTACAGATGCCCTGATTTGCACAGGAATCTTCCTGGCAGGTAGTGCTCGGTCCTGGAGAAGGGATGACAAGAAAAGAGTGAAATAAAGCTGAGAGAATCATTTTAGTGAGGCCCACAAAAGCTCCAATTCATTGTTACCGTTATCAGGATCCTCATGCAGAAGAGAATAAACACTAACCAAACATTTTTCTATTCTTGGACATGCAAGAAACTCAGGTAAAAAGAGCACAAGGACAACTGTACACTCCACAACAAAACAGCAAACTAACACAGAGCAAGGAGTGAATATCAACGTATTCCCCCTTAGGCAGGCCCAACTTGCATGTTCAGTGCTTGCTCAAATAAATTTACTATAAAATAGGGTGTGATGCAAGGATAACAAACACTGCCAGGTTGTCATGCTTCCCTGGAAGTTTGATCCCATTGCAGAAATGAAGGCTAAGAAATGGGCCCAAGAACAACACTTCATCCTATCCAAAGATCCCTGGTATGTGGATTCAAACTAAACTTTAGAAGCCTCACAGCTTTGCTTTATAGGTTAAGAAAAAACAAACCAAACAACCTACAGACTCTAAACATGTCAATAAAGTCCTCAGAAGGGCATGACATTAGTCCATGACACCTCTCTATTCAGGACTTTATTCATTTCCATGGCCTTTGGGAGAAGCAAAGAAGGAAGTAGCCACTACTAACAGAACAGCCTTTCATTGTTCTCTGATTTGGAGCTAACAGTTGCTATCCTACTCACATAAGCCTTTCAAAGACACAACCCAAGCAACAGGCAAAAAAGTGATCTTCAGATCAGAGGGACTCTGAATGACAGCTAGTAGGTTATCCACAAGGAGGTAGCTGGATTCTGAATCACTTAAGAGCAGATGTGAAGCTGCAAGCCATAGAATATGAGTTTAGAAGTTAATTCCTGTGAAAGTATTTTATTTTCAGCATTCTAGACAAAGGTATGCTGCTCCTATTGTGGACTATTTCAAATAAAATGTACAGCTATAGTTAACATACCTACTATTCTATATCCTGTAACTGTTGGAAAAGAACAAACAAAATAAATAGAGTAGATAATAGAAGATCAGTAGGCTAGGCTAGCTGAGATCAGTTTGTTAACCACTTCCAGTCTAGGACAATACCATAAGAATAAAAAAACAACTGTTGTACCAGCATCTTACATCACATAATCATAACAGCAGTCCTCTGAAGCTCATCCTATCCTTCATCCTTACCTTTCCATCACATCAGCTCCACCATCTGCACTTTATAGATGAGGTAGGACACACCAAAGTGGAGACAGCATTTTCAAATGTTTTAACCCAAAATGAAACTCCTCAACCTCCACCTGAGACCACCCACAGTGGTTTCACTGAATCCCATAGTTACACAGTATCTTTGTTATTCAGATTGTGCATCTGGGCACTTCCACATTTACAAATGCACAATCTGAATATCAAAAATGCTTTGTAGAACTCACATCTAACTGGACGCCCCATGTCATGTCATGATCCTCCCAACAATTCAAGAACAGAGTCTTATAGCTTTGGTGCAGAGTTCCTGCTCTTCCAACTAGATCATCTTTCCTTGCTTCAAGAATAGAATGGGTGAATTTCAGTAGCTTTTTAGCTATCTGTGTTTCATTACATCTCTCCTGCAATGAGAAGGAACATGTGACTATGAGAGTTTTACCGAACATTAACAAAAACCTGAGCTTCTTCCACAATCTGTTATACTGTTAAAAAACAAAACAAAACAAAAACAAACAAAAAAACCAAACAAACAAAAAAAAAAAAACAACCAACCACAAAATCCCCAAAATCGCCAAACTTCTAGGAAGAAGCGTAAGTGCAGATAACAAAAGCAAGACAAACTTCCTGAAAGAGAATTCACCCACTCGAAAGAGATGGCAGCAGCAGCAGCAGCCCCAGCAAGAAAACTGTGTTACCATAGTGAAAGAAAGTTGAGCAGCGTTTTTCAACACTTTTCTCCTCCTCTTCACTTATTCTTCCCACCCACCTGATGCTTATTTGCAGCTGTATGAATCCCAGTGCTCTCCCCGGCACAGTGTGAAGTTAACAGATCACTTCAGAGATTACAACAGTGCTGACAGACTTCACAGTGTGGGCTAGTAGGCACATGTACGTACACACTTCCTTCTTTTACACTTACCCAAAAAACATGGATATACCTATATAGATACTTATGCATCTGGTTGGGGTCTGAGATTCAGTTCAGACTTACTCTAGTGCAGCAAAAAAAGAGATGAAATCTAACAATCTGCAATAGAATACTAGCTGTCATTTTGCCTAACATGTCTGTGTTATCTGAGGATAAGGAATAAGGAACCAATACATCACCTGTACCTTACTATTCCATTATCTAACCTCTGACCCAAAATATGAATGTCAATACTCCTAGAGGTATAAATAAGCTAGTTATATATATTAAAAAAACAAAACCAGAAATTATTTGTGACTCTACACAAACTTGCTACAGCATCAACTGTAAACACTATTACATAGAAGCAAAGCAGAAAAGCATTTTCAATGATACTTCCCCTCTCTTCCTACACTCTTCCAAGAGCACTTTAATCAGTAACTGGACTTGACAAGGGTCATCATCTAACATGCGTATCCTTTGTCTAGGTGTTCATGAGAAAGGGTCAGTACTCTAAAGGAATAAGACTGCATGAGGCCCAGTATCTGTGGCTTGAGGTGCTTGTAGTAAGAGAGTGTAGAGAGGCAAAGGACTTGAATTCATGACCAGTACTGTGGTGTCTGAATTGTATTTTACAGAACCTAACAGTGAAGATGGAAACAGTACTTTCAAAACAGCCAGAGGGGAAGGAAAATGGGGGGGGCGGGGGGAAGACCACCCAAAAACCCCACCACAAAAATGAGGAATTTTGAAAGCCTGACAACAGCAAAAGGAAGCTCAAAGCCTGATCTGCCATCCTTAGAGCCAGTTGTGACAGCACAACATAGATACTGGGTATTATGCTTTGCCTCACTCCTTAGTACTATGGGCCATTTGCATGTTAAAAGGATCTTTGTCTCTGAGAGTTCATCTACTCCTGCTGCTTAGAGTCATCATAATCCTCCATCTGTGGCAACAGAATTTTGTTCAGAGCAACTAACAGGAATGTCACAGGGGATTAGGATTTTGGATTAGAGAGCAAAGCGACAGAAGCACAGGAAGGCTTATAAAGCATGAAGATTGTGTTCCCATGCACATGCCCTTTAGTGCTAACAAACAAGGAAAGAGAAGACAACAAACAATTCATACATATAACAGTAGAATTGGTTCTAAATTACCAGTGCCATCAGACCTCAGGTCTATTTTTAATTTCATTCCTTTGGCAACACTTAAACAGCAGCCGAAGCATTTAAAAGCAAAGTTTCAGAACTAGTCTTCACTTGATAATCTGAGATATATCTGACAAATCATACTCGACTTTGAATTAATAAAATATGTGTGCTGATTTTAATTTTCTCCTTAAATTTCCAACACCGAGACAACACTTGCTATTCCCATTGACTGCATTTTCAAAGGCCTTATTGTTGTTGTCTGTAGCTGGGCTTGGCACATTGTCTTCTTCATGCCACATGCACAGTAGAAAGGGGGAGTGAATGAGCGCTAGATGCAGAATGAAAGTTCCCGATGCAGAAAAGCATCCCTACTAACAGAAGAGTGACTTGCTGTCTCCTCATGTACTAAGCCTAGCAACAGAGGCAGCTCCTTTGGAATATGAAATGGCAAAGCAGAATTCTTCAACAATGTCGATTTGTTCTTTATTTCCGCATCTCTAATTTCTACTGGAACACCTCGGTATCTAAGGACTTGCAAGGTCTAAGATATTGCTGGGTCTCCCTCCCTGGGATGGAGTCTAGTATTACACTTTTCCTTCAACTTGCCTCACTAAATATATGGTTTATTAGCCTTACCACTAAATATTTTAAGAAAATCATCTTAGAAGAGTACAGTAGCCAGATCTCCTATCCATATTCTGCTTGGAAAAATTACTTTGTCTCCCTAATTTTTTTCCTGGAACTTCAGCTGTATGGTAGGTTTCTCTTTGCCCTGAAATGAAAATATTTGAATTCTACTGCTGCGTGTTGCTAAAACTGCCATGTTTCATCCTGCAGGTGGGCGCCTTTCACTGGCAAGCGAAGTCACTCCTGCTGTGTCATTTAAAAGCTCTTTGCAGAGAATGGAACTTTAGGAATAAAAGACAGTATTGTTTTTATTATTCTTTCAAGTTACATGAGGAATCAGTTTATACAACAACTGCAGGATTATAACACAACTGCCTTGTGCTTTGATCCTAACTAGCAATAAGCATTAAGCTAAGTAAACCATTTGTGGTTCTACAAATAACACCTTCCTTCACACATCAAAAATTTACTACTATTGAAAGGAATCATCCATTTGTGTTGCCATTATTTTCTCAGTCAAATGAGGATCTGCAGCAGAAAAGGTTCAATGGCACCATGGATTCATTTTTACTCTCCATCTGCCTAGATGCTCCCATCTTTTTTCCTTGTACTTTCAAAGAGGTTAGGAAGAGACAGGAAAGCAATACACACAAGACATCTTTACTGTCTGTGTAGAATAAGGTGCTTCTTTTGTCGTATAGTTCCTAAATTGCAAATGCCATCAAAGCACTAAATAGCTCTACCACTGCCAGTCCCACATTATGATGGGCAATTTATACCTAGGATAAATCTACAGTCTACTTCTGTCAGCACTCTTCTTTTATAACCAGCAATTATTCATTTTTGGTTGGTTGGTTGGGTATTTTTTGTTTGTTTGTTTTTGGGGGAGGGAGAGGGGAGAGGTGGGTGTTTTTTTGATTGTTTGGGTTTGGTTTTTTTGGTTGGGTGGTTGCTTTGTTGGGTGGTTGTTGGTTTTTTGATTCAATGTGCAGGCCTAGTACAACTCAGAGAGGCACCAGGTCTTGGAAACCATATGCACTAGGCAGAATATAAATCTGTTCTAGGACTCACTCACTCCAGGACTCACTCGCTGTGCAGGTTATGGAGGAAATGAAGCTAATAGAGCTAAATTTTCCAATTTTAGAATAATTTTGATTTTTTTTTTCTGAGTAACGAGCAAAATTGAGACCGAGTATCATGGAACTATCACTGCACTTGGACAGACCATATGGACCTTTCACGCTGTAACTGTCAAATACCAACAGTAGCATGTTGACACCTACTCTGCACAAATATAAGAACCTATAGTCAAGGTTCAGTGCATGATTCAGAAAGTTAGATCCTGACTTTTGAGTCACAGCTGGTAGAAAGCAGAAATATCACAGAGTAACTTTAACTTAGCAAACCAGAACCTAAAAAACAAAAGGGATTTTCGAGGACTGCAAAGCCAGCTCTTTGAGCTCTCTCAATTCCAGATTTTGTTAGGAACTCACCATCCCTTTCATTGCCTTAAAAAGGTTAGACATCTGGCAAGTTCCATAACGTTACCCATCGTCAGAAATAACTCAAAACCCAGCATTCTGCAGTCCTCTGAAAATACAGCTGTTTATTCCAGTGCCTCAACAGAACCTGAACTCTTCATTCACCTGATGACAGTTAATGACGCAGAGTTCTGCTCCAAATATGTGGCTGGCCTAAAAATTTCAGGGACTGGGACTAATCAAAATAATAAATACGCAAGTCTTCTACAAAAAAAAAACAACAACCAAGCATTTACCTCAAGGTGACAGGAGAAGGTAATCAGCAGCAGTGCCAAACCACAGATCTAGAGGTGGTAAGGATTTTTTCCTCCTCCATGAAGCCTGACATATAGCTATCTTCATCCCTCTTTTCACCCTGCCACTCTCCCTCTCCAAGCAACCTCAAAGGTCTTGAGCAAAGTGCTCAAACACATACCCAAGCCAAATAAAACCCCAACTTTACAACTAAAAGTCAACTGCATAAAAGGGAGTATGCCTGGACCTGAGATGGGACAGGGAGATGCAAATGAAGTAGAGGAAGTAAACAGTATTCAGACACTCAGACACAGAAACTAATAGCAGAAAGGAAAAACTGAAAGGGCTGTATGTGAACAAGAAAAACACCATCAATTGGAAAAGCGTCCTTCCCCACTGCAAACGATAGCAGTACAGAAGTACCAGGCCTCATGGCCTGTTTTGAAACCTGTTTAGCAAAGGTTGGTTTCCTGAAAAGCCAATAATCCACATTATGCACTCAAGACAAACATTTCCCTTTAGGCTTCAATGTGATCAGGTGTCTCCATCTCAATGGCAAATATTCCTATAGGGCTAAACCTCTGAAAAAATATGAGCTTGAGCTGGAATAATCTTCACAGCTGTGACAAGCCTTTAAGTTCTGAGGAAAAATCAAAACAAAAAAATTTGTTTGTTCCAAGACCTCTTCATGTTGTATCCACTTCAGTGGCCATCAAAACATCAAGCAGGAACTTCTGGTCATGTATTCTGAATTCTGATGGACAAACAAGTGACCAGAGAGAACAACAGCAGCTGAGGCCAGAGACAAATGGTACTTGCTGATGTCTAATGCAAGTCCCAGATTTCCTGCTCCAGTTTGAATGGATGGTACAGAACACTTTAATCCTAAAGCTATTTACACTCCAGCTATTTACACCCTGGAGTACCCAGTGTACTCCAGGATGCTTTTTCTCCTCACATTGGTACCAGTCCACGTATCCTTCCTGTTCTTTCAAATCTCATCCTCTACCACTTTTGTTTACCTGCACTTCAGAAATCCCCTAGAGGCAGCACTTGATATTCTCTAAATCCCTAACCTCTGTAAGACAGAGTACTTCAACTTTTTACAGCTGGGAATAGGCCAGAGATGCCAACAAATGTGGATGAAGTCAGATGTTCCACACGCATAGAGCACAATGCATGATACTAACTTCTGTCTACCTCTAGGCTGTCAAATCTTTCAGATTCAATGTTTCATATACATCCAATGATTAGAATTATCTCAGGCTGTCAGTATCTTTATCTGTTGGGTAAGGAGGTGCCTCCTAATATGCTTCTGTCTATCAACAACTGCTAATGTAATTGTACCCTTAAGCCTTCCTTCACTACATGTCTCCTAAGAATTAGCCTTCATCATACTGGCGGAGTGCTGGAACGGGCTGCCCAACGGGGATGCTGGAACCTCCCTCTCTGGAGGCATTCAAAATCCACCTGGACGCGTTCCTTTGTAACCTGCTCTAGGTGGCCCTTCCTTGGGCGGGGGGGTGGACTAGATGATCTCTGAAGATCCCTTCCAACCCTAACAATTCTGTGATTCTGTGATACTGGTTTTCTGTCAGCACTCTTTACCTCATCATTTCTCTGTAATTCAAGTGGCATGTTCTCAATTACTATCTGGCCTCTCCTCCTTGAGCCATCTTCTTTGGTTTCTACCAATTCCACACATCACCCTACCCCTCCCCACCTTTCTGCTGAGGCTACTCTCAGGTCTCTTTAACAGCTTTCACTTGAGTAGCTTTTGTATTTTACCACGATCCACAAAGTCCTTTTGGCAACCTCAAAAATCATTGGTTGATCCTTTTCGACTTAGCAGGCAATAGTAATAATAGTTAGAATTTCACATGAGGATCAACATCATGAAAAAGTCCTATATGCTTTATAAAAAAATCAGAGACTATCCAGTAAGAGGTTCTAAAAAAGCCATCTGAGAGGTACAAAAATCAGCAGGTACAAAAGGATAGGCGTGACCACTCATGTGTTTGATCAATTAGGGCTTGTAAGATGCCATCTAACTACTAAGAAAATTTGTAGTTAACACATTCTTTGTTTTATTTTTTAACTGAAATTCCAGAAAGTTATTTCTGAGGGGGTTTATTTTTTTCAAAGTCTGAGTTAAAAAAATAGCTTTTATCTCCTGGTTTCACTCCTTAAGACGAGTGGTAAAAAATCCAAGTCCATTTTTCATTTTGTAAAGCTCTGAGGGCCTTCTATGTCTCTATACAACAGCAGTTACTTGCCTGAACAATCATTAGGCATTTCAGGAAATCAACTTGTGCTTTTATGGATAATTCAGAGACTGATACAGCCAAACCCCCAAGGTTAACAAAAACACTTCCATTGTTTGCCATGTCCTTCTTTAACCCAGACAGTCCCTCAGAGTGGCTGGGGTTTATCATTCTGTTCCTGTCTCAGAGGTGTGACTGCATCCAGTAAAAGGCACCAAGTGTTACATAAAAGCATCTTTTAGTTCAAATCAGTAACGGGGAAGAACAACCTTCTCTACCTTGCAGGTCAGCTTTGGTCAACTCAACTTTGTTAGCAAAAAATAAAAAACAAAACAAAAAAAGCAAAAAATAATAAACATCAGGTTAGTATAAAGGCAGATAAACCAGGGTCACATCACTTCAAACAAATTAAAGGAATTGGTATAACCACCACAGCCAATGTGCATAATCATTACATGGAGGAATGACAACATAAGCAACAAGGACACAGAGAAACATGGCTACCTTAACCCAATCAAGCAACAGATAACAAAACCACAGATGAGAGAGTAAATGCATTTCATTCACACACACACACACACACACACACACACACACAAGGTCACAGAATTTACAGATAACAGAGAAGGAAAAAAATAGCACATTCATAAGACTCATCTTTCAGCATAATTTAAGAGAGATTTTATCTCATTTGAGAAATACTTAGAATCCATTTAAGTAAAAAAATCTATTTGACTTTCAGTACATTAGTCAATAATTATTTTATTTTGGTTTTACTTCCAGGCTCTGGATCTGAGCTTAAATCTTCTGTTTCTCATAACAACACAGATTGCCCTGGCTTTTAGTCCAAAGTGGATTTATTGCCACAAAACTATAAGGGACTAATAACTCTGGAAGATGACAACCTCAGTTTATCCCAAGAACTGAACTTGACACTGGATGCAAAGTGACAGTAAAACCTTGCCCCCTCATAAGCTGTTGCCTGCTCATGGATTTCAACACATCCTTAGTAAGACTTGCATCAACAGGCAAAGAGACAGCTCAGGCTTTGGACCCAGACAATCTTCATCAGTCTCATTAGAGCAATCAACAAAAATGACAGTAGTAAAAACTCATTCTTTTACCTAGGTGGGAATAATCTTGTTATCTGCAGCCAAATCATAGCCCACATGGCAAAAAAGAATCATAAATCTACCACGTCTGACTGACTAAAGATCCAAGCACGCTTTCTGAAAAAGCAGAGCATAAAAAAGCAAACCAAAACAATATCACTGATGCTCTTTCATTCTTTCATTTAGGCATGGGGTTCTTTTTATTTTTAAATGGACTCCAGTTCACAAGGAAGCCACATAGATTTTTGATGTGTTATACCTTGATTCTAAGTTTTCTCTTTCAGCATGGAAAAAACAGAGGACAAAGATGGGAGTACAGGCAGCAGCTCCTGAATCCCTTGCTACTGAAGGTTACAAATCTCTATCATACAGCACAATGGGAACAACAAAACACCAAATCACTGACCCCATCGCTCAAACGATGGGTATTTGAGAAATGCATACTCACCTTTATAACCTTCTGCTCTTAAAAAGTTCCAATATCACAGATGATATTGAAGACAAAGTGATAGCTCTCCCTTTCTGCCATTGTCTCCTTTTACATTTGAATCCAATAAATTAGAACTGGCATGTCCAACCCTAACTATTCTATGATTCTATGATTCTATGTACAGATGCCATTTCCTGCGATTCCTACAAATCTTAACATTTTGAATCTTTGCTATTGTTTTACAGCTCACAAATGACTCAAGATGGCAATTATCTTCCCTTTTCAGCTAGTCAGATTTTTCTTCCCACTTCTCAAACTGCTCTACCACCATAAAGCCATAAAATCCCCAGAGTTCTCTAAACACAATGAAAAAGAAAGGGAGGAGGAGTGGAAAGAGGAGGAGAATGCATTTCTTCATGCATCTTCTTTGACACATATTCTAACAAAGTAATTTCTGTGTAACAAACTAGTACTTTCCGGAGCTGCCCAAGTCCTCATCATCTTTGTAGCTGAGCTGGAGCAAACCTTATATTTGTTGTTCCATAACTCCAGTAGCAATGTGACAACAGAGTACAAAAGCCTAAAGAACAGGCGAGCTGTCAGACTATCACTGAGTAAATTAACTCTCCTCTCCCCTATGGACAACCTTTGATTCTACTGAGAAAGTGAAGTATTGCCAGATTTGAAGTTTCACTACTGAGCAGATGAAGGGTGTCATCTTTTCTGACATTACCCTGCTGTGAGATTTTAAGCATGAGATTAAATTTTCTTTTTTTCTACATACTGCTTAGTATGCAAAATGAGTTTCCGATTATCCAGCCTGTGTCATTCATGCTTTTCATGCACCAGTGAATTCCAAAGGTTAACTATACTATTTCATGGAAAGTAGCACAAGATTATGATTTTACTGCAGGATCTGGAAGAAGATTTAGTTAGGACAAAAAAAGTCCCAAAACATCTGGAACAGTGTCAGCCAGTTTAATAATAGTCACTCTCCTTTGTGGTAAGCTATTATCAGTGGAAGAGGTGAGGAAAAGGGAAGAGGAGAAGCTGCTGCCACGTCTCTAAAGCATATAGAAAACTGTGTTGTAGAAGAAATGTAATGTTCTTTAGCCACTGCTGTTAGGTTTGTTTGGCTGGTGGCAAGATGGGGTGAATGTATTTAGAACATGCAGCTGAATTTCAGATAGCTCTAGTGCCCATGGTAAGCAACATAAGGATGTCCAAATAAAGGAAACAAAAACACAGAAGTACAAATGGAAAATTAATAAAGAGGTGAAAAAACACCCCAGATGGAGGAAGTACTCAATATTTAGGGCAACATCTTTGACTGCCACAAAAGGTTGGACATCTGCCAAAATAGGTGGCAGACTTGCCTGCAAACTTCCAGTAGAAGTGGGCCCCCATGTCAAAGTCCTTTCTGAGAATTGACTGTCTCTTCAGAGCATTCAGTAGACTGACCACTTGTGTCAAGACACAAAGACACAAGGACCATTTAAGTCTTAACCGCTTCCCTCCTTTTCTGCCTTTTCTTTCAGGCCCTCTCACCAAACCATTTTTTGGGTGGTGGTAGGGGGAAAGCCCTACCCTTTTTATCTTAAGGCATGAGAGTTAGAAATACTCTGTGAAAAATAAGTAAATGTATTTGTTTAATGTCATTATCATGAACCTCATGGTTCTCATAGTTGCTTGTAGCACATCAACCTAGAACAAATTTCACACACCAGACAGACAGAAGATTTCTGGCTTTCTCTAATACCTTCCAGGGAAACAAAAGCTGCCACTTCAGATATGAGCAGACCTTCAAGTCAACAAAGAACTGCCTGTTGTCCCCAAAACCTCAGAAATACAGCAATAAAAATACATCAGACCACTGCACACAAAAAAGAAGGGGTGTGTGGTGTGGAGCTTTAACTCCATGGGCTCATTTGACATTTCAGACACTCTTGGGTTCTATTCTTCCAGATAATGACCCACAAAAGTCTTCACCAAAAGCAACAGACCTACAGGATGCACCAAAACAGAAAACAGGTCAGTGTGGCAGCTATCATCCTGTCCAGCACACTGGTTAGTCTAATGATGGGTCATCTGAAGGAGAAGAGCTAGTAGAGAACATGCAGGCTACACAGCCAACAGATTAAGCTAATTTTAAACAGAAGAATTACCAGAAATCTCTAATGTTAAAGAAGAACTTTCAGTGTAACGAGGATAATCAGAAAAGACATTTTCAAAAAAAGCCAAGTGCAATTTTTCTCTCCTTGAACTTTGTGAATAAAACAGAAAAGGTGCAATTTTGGCATTTTGGCTGTGTCACAAATGGGCAAAGGCACAGGTTCTGCTACACTATGCTCAGTCCCACAATGAACAATGTGGTTAACAGACCCAATTAAATACATCAGAAAGACAGAAAAAAAAAGAACAGCCTACAAGTGTGCACCACTTATCAATCCTGTGAAACTGGAATCGACATTGAGTGATCTCCTGTGACAGGACACAAAATTCTTGCAAACCAGAGTACCATTGTGGCAGTGTGGAAGAAGGGCTAAGGCACAGGAGCTCCCACCCAACCAGAACACTGGGAAACAAGGAATATAATGTAAGGATATAACTGGACTGCCAATTTGGTGTTTCATTAATACTCAAAGACGGCTTTAAGATAATACTTTCAATCCTAAGAATGAACAGTCTTGACAAGCGGCAAGGCTTCAGCATAATTAACCTGTAATCTTGACATGGTAGGAAAATATCATCAAGGAGTAATTTCACCTTGCGAAGTCCCGTCTTGAAGGATCAGTTTAGGGGACACATCTTCTTAGCAAACATGCATGCCCAACAACTTTACAGAGAAAACTATCGTCCTCTAGTGACCGGTAGCCAACACAGCAGACTGGTATTCAGTGGAGCTAGACATAATGGTGATTTTCGCTTCAATTCACAAGGCCAGCAAAGCCTGGTGTGTCTGTATGGCAAGCGTACCAAGTACTTTGGGAATTGATGCCATATGCATAAAACTGAGTCAGTGCTGCTGATGTCAATATTCTTTTGATTAATGGGAACTTAGCAAGAACAATGAACTATTTAAAGAAGCTTCAAGACATGAGTACCACTGACGTGTTTCAAAAAGTTACTCATCCTATTTGTTTCCAAACTGGCTTAAAAAGAGAAACTACAGAAGAGAAAGCTTTTCCAGACAGCAGAGAGAATACCCCAGTGCTTTCACTGGAGGCCCTCCTCCTCAAAAAGCAACTTCTGTTTTGGTACAGTCTTGACCATTCAGTTCCTTCTACCTTCCATTTCTCCTGCCTCTTACTTGGTCTTCAAAATACTTACTTCCAAGGATCCCCAGAAAGGGTCTCTGAAGAACAAGTGAATTGTAGGCTCAGAACTTCTTTCAAAGTATTTTAAGGGTACTGTAACATTAATAAAACATTCTGACAAAAGTACTAGTAAGTAGTAGCTCATCCTAGTACCGTCCTTTCCACTACTGGAGGTACCACTTCACAGAGACAAGTATGCAAGAGACTCTTGCCACTCTAAGCCACTCACAGAAGCTCAGTATCCTTTAGCTGCATTTGGAAAATGTAAGCGCACTGAAGGAAGTCATAGTGAAAGCAAACTAGTGAAATGGACAGTAAGGTGGACAAGCAGATGCACAGGGAGCAGCAGTAAAGTAAGAGTGGGGGTTCTTGAAGAGAACTTCTCTGAAATCAAGTATACCTTCGCATCCACGCTCAATCTGCCCACTGCGGTGCAGAGCGTCATTGATTAGATCAGGCAGACGCCCATTCAAGTCCACAGAAGCTAGACAGCCCTGAAATCCATCACGTGATGCCACTAGCTTCGGGAGGTTGCTATACATGCCTTGAGCTAGGCCAGCAATGTAGAGGTCACCTAGAGGAAAAGGGGTAAACATACAAGGAGGACGTTACATACCTTTTAGTGTAGATTTTCCCCACACCCAACATGAATATAGCAAGCTGAACACATGCTCAGAAAAAGTCAAAAGCAGGGAAATATATTGTTCACAAAGTCATTTCTGACTCTTCTACTACTACAAAAAAAAACACAACAAAGCAACATAAAGACAATAAAACCTCACAAAACAAACAAACAAAAAAAAAAAAACCCCAAACCAAACATATGAAACAGAACTAGCAAAAAGAATCCTAACTAGGAAAAATTGTAGCATGACAATTTCTGATAAAGCAAGATATGACAAACTATTCTGCTACAAGAAGTTGCAGAGAAAAAAGAAAAATGAATGTGAAATCCAAAATTGGCAAATTCCAGATTTACTGTTCTGTAATGCACAGTTCCTGCAAGCTTTCTCTTCTTTACTAGTTGAGCCCCACAAGAATAAAAGGAGAGACTGTCAGTCATGTATAATTTACCTTTAAGATCCAGATTTTTGGCACCATTGATAACCTGAGTGACCATCTTGGTGTCTACCTTTAGGCTGTGTGTGTTACTGTTATCTCTGGTGATGACGACGTTGTGCCATTGGTTGTCATTAAGAGGACGATCGCTATTGCCTTTGATAACATTAGGTCCATTTCCAAGGTCAAACACATAGTGTATATATCTGTAAACATACCAAGAACTAGTTAAAACTGTGTAAGAACTCTAGTGCTACTGACCCTTATTCTAACCAGAGTTGATAAATCAACTTATGAGTCATGAAGGGAAGTATCTCTGGGTTAGAATGTTCTAGTAAGCCAAAACATCAGGCACCGACTTGAAAAGGTATTAGCTGTTTCCCTGCCACCAAGAAAGTATAAGGAGTATTTTCAGATGGCAACATTTGGATGAAATTAGACCCTAACCATAAGGCTTTCCTCTTTTTTTTTTCCCCAAAGTTCTCACAGATGCACGAAAACCCTGTCTGTGCGTATAATGATTTTTTAAAACTGGAAATACCAATGAATGTACTGAAGAGCGACACTGGATACGCTTCTTTGGGGCATATATTCCCCAGATTCATTCTGAGTTTTGAATAACTCTCTTAAGAAGATAATAGGGAAACTCACTCAATATATTGTAGCAAAATTCACATGACATCCTAGACTTACTCAAACAGCTGGAAAACAATTAACAAAGCTTTCAGCAAAAAATAAAGACCTTAACAAAGACTGAAGTCATGGGAGTGTTAGCCTGGATTATTTACAGTTCTAACACAGAAATCCATCTGGGGATAGAAGAGATATAGTCTACTTAGGAAAAAAGACAACAAAATTCAGCTCTCAACAAAGCACCAGGAGCTCGTGATTCTTGCTTTTTTGTTACTCAATGTCCCACTTACAGAAATACGTGGAAAGTTAAAAATGAAACAGATTAAACTATGATTCAGTTATGCTAAAATAAGCAGGACTAGTAAACTGTATTTGTGGAGACCATGCCTACTCTGACTAGATGAGTATAAAGGATCAAAATTTGTTCAGCTAACAAAGGATTTATTTTATTTTTTTTTTTTAGATAAGCTATTAGTCTTGTGAAAAGAATATAGCAGCTCAAAAGCTGGCTGAGCTTGCTTTTTCCTCAAGCATCACCAGCAGAAAACCAAAGAGCAGCCCACATGCTCTTTTTTTTTCTTTAGTAGAAATACGAGTCTCTTACAAGAAGGGGGGGAAAAAAAGTGGGAAGAGAGAGCCCTCAGCACATTTCCTCCTCCTCTGTGCTATTCTCCAAGGTTAACAGGACAAAACATTAGCCTAATTAGACCAAAAGGACTTAAAACATGAATGCTTCATACTGCAAAAGTGTCTTTACCTCAGTGACAGGGGGAAGTCAGTGATAAAACCAGGAGTGTTAAGCTTCAGTGTTTATTTCTAAGTACTTTGTCATACTCAACGTTGTCTCAGTTTGCTGAGGTGTATGAGGTGAGCCTCTCCTTGTGCAAACATTTTAAGCTTACCTGTAAGTAAGTTTATCTATAAATAAGCCAGTAGAACATAGCAGAAAGTCACTTACCCCTTGACTAGTTCAACTGCGATAAAGTCATTGCCATCACCACTGTTAAAAAGGATGAAACCATCAGCTGATGTGGTCTTGAACTGAAAGAAGAGGTGCATGGATGTATAAGCCTGCAAGGTGGCCAAGCTCAGGTAGCTGCTCTTAGTCTTGAACGTCACAGGGTCAGCTATGATGTTGCGGAGACCAAAGCGTGCCTTCAGCTCACAGTAGTCAATGTCACCATTCTTGCACAGGTCAATATAGAGCATCCCATTGAACATGAGGCTCTGGAGGTGGCCGATGAAGCTGGAGGGGATAACAGAGATGTACCGTTTCTCTGTCATGATCCCTGTCTCGATGTTGTGGAACTCCAAGCGGGTGTGATCACCAACCATCGTGCCTGAAGGACAGAAACAAGGAGGAACATGCAGAAAGCCCAGGGATCATTAACAGGTTATATGAAGCCCTTCACCCTTCAGTTTCCAGACTAATAGCAGAACTAACTTAACCCTGTCTGATCACAGTTCAGCAGCTTGCATGAGAACGTGTAGATGCTCAGTGAAGAGGCTTGAGTCTAGCAGTTGCCAAAACATGACAGAAGAGAGAAGACAGGACTAAAGGGCCTTGGGCAACAAGCTCTGTATTTTTCCCCGTGTTTCACAGACCTTCTTGTTTCTGAAGATGACTAGGTCTCTCCCTTAAAGCCTACAGTGACCTATTTGATCCAAGAGTCCATCTGCTAAATAGCTCAGACAGTTCTGAAATATCACCTTGAAGTGCACTTCCTGAAAACACTCAATAAACATAGATTAATATAAAAAGAGCAGAACAGAAGTGAGAACATTTATGAATCTACTAATATTTATTCTGTTGTTGTCTCCTCGTGCCTGATGTTATTTCTCTTGTTTTAAGAGCATGGCAGGAAGGAAAAACACAAGAATGTAACAGGCAAAAAGCCTTCCAAATACTCAAATCATCAACCTACCACTTGGGCTATTTGTCACATTGTGATGGATTTTAACCCCTCAATTAAAATATTCAAGCTATTCAGTATACCAAATATGTCAGACTACTCTTGAAGCATATTTAAAATGCTTTGGCTTGCTAGCATTAGTCCAGACACAAACCCACACAGACAGATGAAATACAACCGAAGACTAGTTTGAATACAGAGACAAGTTGGGCAACATCAGAATGAAAACCATTACAAAAATCCTTATTTTAGTCATCTGTAGCTCTTCATTAAGATAGCTTTAAGTATTTGGTCACACAAGCAAGTGTCCTTTCTACACAGGCCTTGTGCCATTCAGCATACAACAGGAATAATATCAAATTAATGAGCTACTCAACATTTGTTTTCTCACCATTCAATGTACAAGCATCATTCAAAATCTGCCACAAATCTGCTGTTCTTTTTTCTTCATGAAATTTTCTGCAGTGTTGTATTACTTGGTGAGGTGCTGGCTGCAGGGTGGCTGTGGGGTTGCCCCTGTGCCGGACACAGCCAGATCCAGCCAGCTCCAACCGCCCCACCGCAGGGCACGGCTGAGCCCCTCAGCTGAGATGGTGGGGCCTCAGAAAGTGCGTTTGTTTAAGAAAGGACAGAGAACACTGCCTGTGAATGAGGAACAATGGGGAAAACAAAAAACTAAACACACACACACCACAACAAAACAAACAACTAAAACCCCTGCAAACACCAGGTCAGAAAAGGATGAAGGGGAAGATGTGCTCCAGGCATCAGAGTGGAAAGTCTCCAGCAGCCCATGGAGAAGACCACAGTGGAACATACGCTGCAACCCGAGGAGGGGCCCCATGCAGGTGGTATTTTCCATAAAGAACTGCGGTCCATGGAGAGCCCACCCTGAAGCAGGTTTTCCTGACAGTCTGTGGAGAGGACCCATGCTGGAGCACTTCATGGGCTGCTGCCAATGGGAAGGACCCACACTGGAGCAGGTGAAAAGTGTAAGGAGGAAGGAGCGGTAGACAGGAACTATTACAGACTGACCACAGCCACCATCCCCCTGCACCACTTGGTAAGGGGTAGGTGTAAGGGTCAGGGATGAAGGAGAAAACCTGAGAAAAAGAGGAAGTGGGGAAAGGTGGTTTACTTTTTTCTCTTTGTTTCTCAACTCTATTTTTAATTGGCAAGAAATTAATTTTCCCTAAGTCAAGTCTGCTTTGTCCACAACAGCAATTGGTAAGCAATTTCCCTATCTTTATCTCGAACAATCAGCCCTCTCATCCATTTTTCTCCCCTGTCCTCTTGAGGAGAGGGAGTGAGAGAGCAGCTTGGTGGGTGTCTGGCAACCAGCCACAGTCAACCCACAAGTTCAGCAGCACAGCGTGCAAATTATCCTCAAACATGACCTTCATATTCTACCACTTCTGCAAGATTAAGGAATATTACTCTTAATTTTATATACACAAAGCTGAGGAACAGAAAGATCAACATATAAATAGTTTGGGATCTCAAAAAAAGAAACATTTGGCATCCAATTTAGTGGAATGTTTAACAGCTTCAGAGGACTCACTGATTTTGAGGCTCAGCACTTCTAGAAATAAGACCCACAATCCCAATAAGTACCTCCCAAGAGGATAAGTACAATTACTGATCAACTGTGAAAGAACTGACTTCAAGTGACTTATTTAAGATAGAGAAGTCAGATCCTCTGGGCTGTATTCATATGCCTTACATAGAGGTCCCCTTCCTCTTTTTTACCATGCTGTGTCTATTAAAAGGGGATCTTAAAAACACGTTATTCCTAACTCACCTCTCATGATCACATACTAAGTGCAATTTTTCAGTTTATGCTTTGTCCAAATATGATCAAATTTTTGCAAAGGCAGCAAAACCAAGCACACTTGTTATCAGAAAATATTTTCAAGTATCTATTCAAAATACAAAAATATTACACACAACAACTAATTTTTTCACTTATTCCCTATTTTAGCAGTGCATAATTGTCTTTAAGTTTAGATCCAAAGACCATAGACATGAAAAGCTTCAACCCAAGCAAATACAGCTGGACAAACTTAGAAGTAGCTGAAAAGAGTCACATATTTCTGACTATTCAGAAATTCAGGTGTCAGTATCTATGCAAGTGTTTATAAAGCCTAAACCAGTTCTTTACCAGAAATAATATTTTACTTTGAAAAATGTCAGATCACAGGAGCAGAAACTGTGTATGGGCAAGTTTGTTTAGACAAACTTCCATTGCTGTGATTGTTTGGGGCTATTTCAGTTTTCGTGTTATCAAATGACATTTTCTGACTTTTCCAAACCATGTTGTATTTCCTTAAATTAAAATTAAAAACAAAACAAAACAAAAAACCAAAAAAACCCGAACTTAAAATTCCTCCTTCACTTCAAAAGATTAGAAAAATAAAATTTAGGGATTTTGAGGACTAAAACTAAGAAAGCTCTTCTCCTTAGCTCTTCTACTTTTAGATAAATTCAAAGAAGTTGTTGTCAGACTTGGAGAAAAAAGCCAGGCCTTTGAAATCTGGAGTACACTACAATGGGGAACACAAAATTTAGGGGGCACTAGAAATGGAGTGCAGAAAGTTGGAAGAAGTGAACCCAGAATTTTAGAAAAGGTGAAAAATGAGAAAACCAGGACAAGCTTATGTAAAATAGGACAGTGATATCAGTGGCAGTGCAGAAATTTAGGACTAGTTCAGTGAGAAGCTGAAAAGGACATGACAATACAAGACCAGAATCAGTACAGATATACATTCTCCTAAGAAATCATGGAGAGAAATCAAGTATTTTCTGATCTCATTAGCTGTCAGCCCCACTTGCAGAATTCACCTCTAATTTCTCCACTGTGTTTTCTATAGAGTATTGTAACTACTACAGTAATCAGCAGCTCTTTAGTTCAAGTGGTAGCAGGCAAAAAATTCCAGCCTCCACAGCAGTCTTTGGGTGCTAGCGAGATGTTGTGGGGAGGAACATGGCTGCTATATTTGTGTGTCATTTATCACTGAAGTTCTGAGGTGGGGAGAATGTGGCAGGAGGGTTTTGTGATTAAGCAGCAAAATGCTGTCCAGAGGAACTGGATTCTGCCTCTTCCTTAGATGTCCTGCAGGAAGCCAAGCCAGTCACTTCATTAAAAATTTTTCATAGGTGGTCATTAATTGTCTAGACCTAATTCTCCAAGAAGCAGGGTTGATCTAATTTACAGGATCCAATTTATAGACACTCTGAATATTTGTGCATGCAAATGACTTAAAAGCCATGCCAAATTGGTACGAAATACATCCAACTTTAATCTGGTGCCTTGCTTCTGAACCCATAAAATGCGAAAAAGATGCCTATTCACTTCATATAACACAGACATGGGAATAAATCCAGCTACAGCTTCTCAGTTCTGTATAAACATATTGATGAGTAGCACACAACACACATAGACAAATAAAACAAAAAGAATAAAAAAAGAAACCACCAAAACACCCCACCCCCAAAAACCCCGCAAAACAACAACAACAACAGCAACCTAACAGCTTCATATTTAAAGCAAAATGTAGCTGCCATGCATTGTTCTAAACAAGCAGTAAGAAAGAAGGTGGCAGGCAAATAGGCTGTTATTTTTACAGAGGGCCCAATTTAGACTTCTGATCTATGACTAAGACAGAAAGAATCCTGTGGAAAAATCTATGTGACCACATCTTTGAAGACTATGTCATCTACCCAAGGAAGCAAGATGCAGATTGCACAGAAAGTCTTAACTGGCTTTTCTGATTTTTGACTTTTCCATGATTACATTCTTGTAACAAGTATTTTTAGCTGTAATGCATCTTTAATTATGTAATTCACATACATGTACATATGCACATCCTATTTTAGTGTAGGACTGTATCATTATTATTTATAAACTCAGTTTCATGAAAACGAATTCAAAACCAGATGGCTTCAAGGGGATTGACTTGGTAATGCAAAGAGTGCCACCTCATGGTGATTGCTAAAAAAGCGCATCCAAAAGAACTGTTCTCAAATGCAGAAGTAAGCAGCATGAAGCGTTTACCAGCATTTTTCACTAATTCATAAAGTTCCCTCTTAAATAAAATTTACACAATAGGATATAGTATTCTGGCACTCCCTATGGCAACCATTCCTTTCAGTTTTGCCTTCTGAGAAGCTACTCAGAAGAGAGAATGTCAGCATTTGGCAAAACAGCATGGGTCACAACTAAATGAACATACCCGTATCAGCGTGGCATCCAGGGTTACTCTTTGTGATTCTATTATCACCCTTCAGATTGCTCATGTTTTCTTTAAAAATTCAGTTCCTACAGTTATATACAGCTATGAGAACTATAGACCTTCAGAAAAAGAAAAATAAGTTCCTGGCTCTTGCAGCTGTGGGGAAATGGACCAGAAAAAGTATCACCTCTAAAATTTTGAAATTAAAAAGAGACTAGTCTGAAGTACCTTGATCATTTCAAAGCAAATCTCATAACTTGGGAGACACCAGCTTTCCTGAGTGACTGATCTTTTCTTCACCCCTTCAACTACATTTCTCTACAGAAGGAAGCAGGAGCTCAAAAAGCTATTCCAAAAAAAAAAAAAACAAAAAAAACAAAAAAAAACCCCAAACCCAAACCTAAAAACAAGGACTGACACATTCCATACAAGTCAGAGGCCTCCCTAACTCCTAAAACAAAGTTGGGAACAAACTGCTCTATTTGATACGATTTTTCTTCTCTATGGCTCTGAGTCATGAATTTGGGAAGAAAAAAACCAAACAAACAAAAAACAAAAACACAAACACACACACACACCCCCTCCAAAAAGTAAAAACCACCCCACAACACACCAGCTTGAGAAATCCATATTCTCTAACACATCTACCAAATGCTGGTTCACCATGAAGGAAAAGTTGGTGCAGAGGAATGGTTTAGAGAGCCTTGGTTTTGTTCCACAGCACTGAAAGCAACACAGTTGCAGCTCAAGAGCAAGGTATACTTACAGCATACACCAGAAGTCTGGCACAAGAGAGAGTGCTGCTTAGCAACTCTGCATTCTTGGGAATATGCAAGCTCCTCTGTCCCCTAATCCCATATTTCCCTGCATTTTTAAGTTGTCACAGAGATTTCAGGTGCTGGCTAAGAGCTACTAGTCTCTCAGAATTGAACATTAGTTTTCAACATAGTAACACTAAATATACAAGAAGTAGAGGAAGAAAAGGAGGGGGAAGGAGAAATACACACAAGAACGGGAAGAATGGTCTTAACAGCAGAGAAGAGACTGGGAAGAGAGATACAAAAGTAACAACCAAAAAATACATCACACTTACCCTCAGCGACATCATCATCCACCATCAGCTTGAGGCTCTTTCCTCGCCGAACTACCCGGACAGTGTGCCACTCATTGTCATTGAGTTTCTGCCCAGCATAAAGAGTTTCAGGTCCCTTGCCTGGGGATGGTGACAGGTATGACAGTTAAAGCCAGACCCCCAATTAGTTTAGTATTTACTCAATGGGAAAAATCACCAAAATCAACCTGGTGTGCTATAGTCTAGCAGATTATGCAGGTGTACATGTAACCAACCCTCACACCTACATCTTCCCAGCCCAGAGGTAGTCAGGGTCACAAATCCTTCCACTCTGTAAAGTGCTTTCCTCCATAGACTCCAGAGGTCACACTCATTTAAAACAAGGGTAGAAATCTCTCTTGTGCTATGGTACTCATTTCCAAACATCCATCGTACAGGCCACTGCAGTACTAGAAAAACAAGCTGGTGACTGAAATGTCTCTAGAGTGGAGGCACTACAGAACGATTTTGCTCTCCTATAAATCCAGGTTTACAACAGCCCCAGGGTGCTTGGGGTTCTTTTCAAAGTTAATCATATTGCTGCCTCAACACTCAGGTATCAAACACCAGGCTGGTTTCAGTCTTTCAGTCTCAAAAAAACCAAACCAAACCAAAAAAATATCCCATCCAAAACCAAAACAACAAAACAAACACCTCCCCCTCCCATAAATCCTCACCCAAAAAAAACAGTAATTCAAAAAAAAAAAAACCAAAAAAACAACCGAATTTAAACCACAGAAAAGATAACCACTCACCAACCTGGCTGATTGCTCTAAGGTTCTTTGGCAAAGCAGCCTGGCTTACCACTGACTTAC